AAATGGAAACAAAGTCTTTTTAAATAGGGAGGGATGGAGGGGTTGAAGGGAGGGCAGGAGAAGGGAGAAAAAATAAGAACCAAGAGAGATTATGTAAAGGTGCAAATTTCCAATGATGAATGTCATTCTATTGTATACCTAAAATGTACCCATAAAATTAATTAAAAAAAGAAGAGTTTTATTTTGACTCATGGTTTTAGTTCATGGTCTGCTGTCTCTAATACAGAAACAGGTTAGGTACTCAGCCCATTGCAGCTTGGAAGAGGAGAGAGAGAGGAGAGAGAGGAAGAGAAAGAGAGAGAGAGAGAATGTAAGCAGAGAGAAAGGAGGAGCCACAAGAAGAATATATCCGAGGCCAGGGATTTAGCTCAGTGGTTCCACCACTTGCCTTGCAAGCAGAAGGACCCAAGTTTGATTCCCGATACCAAAAAAAAAAAAAAAAAGAATACATCTGAGTTACAACCCCACTAACCTGCCCCTTCCAGCCAGGCTCCACTTCCAAGCATAAGAATTTGGTGGGGCGCATTTTAGATATAAACCATGACAATATTCTAGGAGTTAAATTAATAAAAAACATTCTAGATAAGACAGATAAGATTAATTACCCATAAAGAGATATTAGGTCAGCATAATACTGATAAAGGCCTGGGAAACACATAAATCCATCATCCATTCCTGATAAACAGAGTGATCCTTTGAGACTAAATAAACGTGAATTCCATTTATAGAGTATTAGTCATGTCATATGCTATGTGTTAAGATAATTTAATCTTCATATCTATCCCATGAGATGTAAGTATTGCCCCATTGTACATAAGAAAAAACTGTGACTGGAAATATTATCTTGGCTTCAAATTTCACAATTCTATTTGGTGGCATATGTGAGAGATAAATTCAAGTTTGACCTCAAAGATCTGTGTAGTAAATTTTCATCTTGTTTTAACCTTCCAAATACATACAAAAGCATTTATAATTGTATTAATTTTATTTAAACTTGATTAAAGTAATAGTGTAAATTTAAGAATAATCCTGGAGATCAAGGCAAGAAGAAACAAAAGGAAAAAGAACAGGTTATGAGACATATACTATATAAATAGTGGGTGTTTTCAACAGTGACATTTACTCTATTATAGAAGTAGTTCACCAGGATTATTTATCCTGGACAAACCAATTCTCAAGGCCATGTGATTCTTGAGTACCTTGACACTATAAAGAAAGTACTATTGATTGCCCAAGCAACCCTTGCACTGGAAAAGCAAAAAAAATAACAAACTGACATTCTGCTTTATATGACAATTTTATGCTGTTTTAAAATGAGTCTCTCTATAGGATCTTATTGCCCCTGAGAGAAAATTTTAAAAGTTTCTATCTGGATCTCTAAAATTAAGGAACAGATCTTAAGCACTGATGCCTCCCTTAAAAAGTAATATTCTATTTTTTTAAAAAAATCAATGCTCTGATTTCACTTCCTCAATGTGTAGTTGTTAGCAATGTTTTATTTCTACTGTAAGACTGACATCTTTTGGAGGATAGTAACTATTTAGTCATAGCCCCATCTTCCACAACATGCAGAATAGAAAATACCATAAATGTTTCTGCAATAACAGAAATAATAAAACATAAGCATGTTCCTCCTCATTTTCAAGTGTAGAGGTTTATAGACCAAATTTAGTATGTATATGAATCTTAGAACATTTAAGAAACTGGCTGATCAAACCACTGTAGTGCTTAATTCAGTATTAAGTATGGCTCGCTGAATTGGAAGTAAATGTGAATGTTCAACGTGAGCCTATAGGTACCTCAACTCAGAAACTAAGAGAGCAGAGAGTTTGGGGAAACATTAGAGGTGAGCCATAGCTCAAACCCACAGTGATGCTGGTGATTCTTACCCTGACAATGTGTGCTCTGAGTGTCTGGTACCATCTTGCAGAGCAAGCTCACTTACTATCTTCTTTCTACTTTTTAGGGCAAGAATACTACGGCATGGGCATGAGTAGCTTGAAATTGCTGAAGTATGTACTATTTTTCTTCAACTTGCTCTTTTGGGTAAGCGTTTTTCTTTTGAGCATGGTTGAGCTAACATTCTCCCTAGTAAGCTCACCTTCTCTCTTCTCTAAAGAGTCCAGCATGAAATGCAACTTATGCATATTTCAGTCATGTCCTGCACAGCAACCCTAAGAAGAGTAATAATTTCCCCCCTCTTCCCATCCTACCATAATATAAACTTACAAAACTGAAAGGTATCAATACTTTTATTAATGGAGATATTGTTTTTCTCTTGGGGCTTTAGACTGCTGCTCACAGATGACAGCAATATACGAGAAACAGATGAAAATTTAGGTATTTAGTATGTTTTTCCCCCTGGACCCTTGGAAGAATAGCTCTTGGAAAGTGAAGTCGCCTTTTTGGGAAGGTTTCACTGTATCAAATTCAGCAATTGAATTTTATATATAGGATGGATTGGGCCTCATGTGTCTGTAAGGAAGGTTCTTATAAATTTGGCTTCTCTGGTTTTTTGCCCAGCAAGATGAACTTCCTTAAGCATGTCATCTCCTCTACAAGGTTATAGTTTCCAAAGGGAAACAAATTCCATGTGTGAATAGTTGAGGGACAAGGAGTAGGATATCTGAAGCAAAGAGTTAGCTTGTGTGTGGTGGAAGTATTGCGTGGCTCATAGGGGTTACCTTTCCTTGGTATCTGCAAATGGGTAGGATGAGATCTGAGTGGGACTCTATATGAAAACTGCAGGGATTGCATTTTTTCTAGGACTGTGAGGAAACTGGGAAAAGACATTGTTAATGAGAGTCTTGACTGAATCTATAGAAGGTGATTCTGATCTCAAGAACGTGAAAATGTGAATGAGGAGATACTCAAAAACCACACTTTTTCTGAGCATGTTATTGGATTCTTCTTTCAGTTCTGTGGCTGCTGCATTTTGGGCTTTGGGATCTACCTCCTGATCCACAACAGCTTTGGAGTGCTCTTCCATAAACTCCCCTTTCTCACACTGGGCAATGTTCTTATCATTGTGGGCTCCATTATCATGGTGGTTGCCTTCCTGGGCTGCATGGGATCTATCAAGGAGAATAAGTGCCTGCTTATGTCGGTAAGTCCTTACAGTATGTGGTGTTCTAAACCAGGGGAGGGGGAGATGATTCCTCAAGCCCCAGAAAATATGTTTCTTGGTAGATCACCTATAGGCACAGGGAAAGCATGGGTTTGGCACCTCAGAATCACCAAGTCTATCCTGACCAGTAGTATTTTGTTTCTGACTAGATGGGAGAGGGCATTACTGTCCTCCTTGGCATCTATTTTCCATTGTTAATAATGACTCTTGCTGTTATAATTCCCTTCACAGCATTTAGTTTTTTCTCCATGTCTGGTTGAAGTTAAGTGTCATCCATCTGCTTAAATTCTCATTTTGGAACATACTTTGGGATCTGACTTAGAGTCACTAAGTGACGGAAAAATAATCACTAGACCTTTCTAAGCATGGAGACCCTCCTCAAACAACAGAGGCATTCTTTAACTTATATCCACCCATGAAATTCTATAATAAGAGTGACCCTACTTAGGTGATGACTAAAGCTGCAGCCATTGAGGTCAAATATGAGAGATGCTAGAGCTTCTTAGTTATTCCGTCATGTAACCATCTAGAAGAGCACCTTCAGACTTAGGTTTTGCCTGCAAGCATTGTAAAAGAAGAGTGCCACATATCTCTAGTATTCTCAAGCCAGAGCTTGGGAGGACTGTGCCTCTCTATAGTTATGGTTCCCAACCACCTTGGATTTTTCTTAAATCATTTGGATAATCTTTTTTTCCCTTGCAGATCAATAATTAAAATAGAGCCAAGTGAAAGAATAATAATAAAGAAAACCAGTCCCAATTGTCAGATATTTTTTGAACTGATGGCAAAAGATAGGTGATAGCAGACATGGAGTAGAGTATGCGGAATCAAAATTGGGGTTGCAGTAAAAATGGGGAAAGAAGAAATAAATGAATAAAGTTGTTTCTGAGTAAATGGCATGAAGGGAATAAGCATCTAAAGTCAGAGACAAAAATGACCTGGGACTATGATTAGGGCCTGTCTTAGTCACTTTCTCATTACTAGGACAAAATAATACCCACAAATTACAGAAAGAGAGGTTTATTTGGCTCACAGTTTTAGGCATATCAGTCTATCACTGGCAGGCTGAAACTCAGAAACAGAATGGCGGAAAGACCTGCTGTGGAGGAAATATGCTCATGTTAGGGGTCAGGAAGCAGAGAGGGGAGGGATGAGCTGGAGAGGGAGATACAGCTTTCCAGGTCATGCCTGCCCATGACTCACTTCCAGGTGGCCTCACTTCCTAACAGTAAGTCAAATACAGCCATGATCCAATCACCTTCCAAAAGTGCTGCCTCTAAGTGCATGAGAGTTTTAGGAGAAATTCCAGATCTAAATAACAGCAGGGCCCTTCTTTTTCCCCAATCTGTATAGGGCACCTCTCAACTTTCACCACCATCCATCCTCCTCCCTGAGGTAGCCTGGATCCAGTAGAAAGGGCTAATCACCAAACTGTAGAGATATATAGTTTAGTTTGGTGCCTTTTGCTCAAATATTTCAATATGTTGATGCAAAAAAATGCTTCATTTATTCAACAGATGACGTTGAAATATGTATTATGTGCCTGCGATTCTGATGGGCATAATGGACAGCAGAGAACAAAGTTAGAAGACCACTGATCTGCCCTTTAGAATGTAGTTACAGGAAAAGAACACATATTTCTCAAAGAACAAGAGAAGGCATACAAAGCCCTGAGGAGGTGGAAACAGGAACACCCTGTCTGTGTCCAGGCAGAGGAGGTGGGTCAGACACTGAGGTCAGTATCATGATATCTCTTCTTTTCCCAGTTCTTTGTCCTGCTGCTGATTATTCTCCTTACTGAAGTGACGTTGGCCATTCTGCTTTTTGTGCATGAACGGAAGGTAAGTTATAAAGAACACAACTCATTGTCTTACTGCTGAACGTGGAGAGGGTGTAGTACAGAATACATGCTATAATAGAGATGAGAATCAAGTGGAAGGATGGTGAAAAGAGAGATTAATTATAATTAAGGGAAAAAAAATGTCATAAAAGAGATTGTATTTGAGTGTGTCTTGAAGGGTGAGTAGAAACAACAGTACGAGTTTATCTTCTAATTACTTTCCTTTGTGTATTTGGTCATGAAGAATGTCTCAGTGCTCAAAGATAGTCCTTGTGCTTATCACTCCTTTTCCTCCTTTGTAAAACCACAGTCCTGGAGGGACAAGAGTCTATTGTATACTTTCTCCTTGAAGGCCTTGTCACCTTCAGCTCTTCTTCCCTTTTATATAATTCACTCTCCTCTCAAACCATAGTTCTTAGAAAAGTATTTGGAAGGGAGGGACAATTGGTCTCATTAGCCTATGTATTCCTTGAACTCACTTGCTTTTTACAACATCTTCTCTGTTGGAATGTGCCCTGCCCAGCTGCATAGCTATGTGGAGGAGGGCCTGAGTGAGAGCATCCGACGTTACTACTCAGACAACAGCACTAAGGCAGCGTGGGACTCCATCCAGTCATTTGTGAGTACAGATGAAATTCTCCTCAGATCAGCCTGAACTTCATTTTCAAGCCTTAGTCCCTGGGAACTAGTACTCCTTTCTTGGAAGTTTCAGTCTACTGTCTGTGGCCCTCAGGTCCAGAATATTTCCTTGGTGATAAAAACAGAAGAGATAGTAGTCAGATTGGTGCAAAGTTCTCTACAGTCTCTTGTTCATCCTTTACCAACTCAAATAAGATCATTGTTTAAGCCCTAATAAAATGTGAAGAAAACCTAAATATATCATATTGAGTTAGTTTACCTATTTTCCAAAAGTTAACTAAAACCAGCAATTGTATAATACAAGACATCTCTGTGGAATTCCCATCACCAAAATTAAGCTTGTTACCTAGCCCTCCAGTACCCCATTCCTCACATCCACTCCCCATCCACAAAAATAAACATTAACTCAGTGTGTTGGGGGATAAGGGAGGGCTAGGGAGTTTATGCAAGTGTAATCTATGTCTCAAACAATACCACAAGGAACACATGCTGGGCTTAGTGTGGAGTAGAAGAAATAACTTAGGAATTAGAGCATCAAGTCCAGAATCGAATGGCTTCAGGAAAGTCACTTAACTTCTCTAAATCCCCAATTAATTTTTTAAAATTCAGTTTAGAAGTCTTTTCATTTGTAATTCTTAAATATATTCTAAAATAAAGACAATGTTAGTATTTGAATCTCTGGGTCTATATCGCCAGCTTGAACAGTTGACCTTTTGCCAGTGTCATCTCATCTAATCCCCTCCACATTTTTTGCTAGAATATTTTAAAGCAAATATTCCACATGAAGTTGTTTTATCCATTAAATATCACCAATACAGTCTATAAACAAATTGTCCTAAATTTCCCCAAATTATTTAAACTGATTTGTTCAAATCAAAATCTAAACAAGACCCATACATTATAGCTGAATATTATGTTTCTCTAGTTTTCTTTTAATCTGAGATTGTATTTTTCTTTGTTTATGCTACATGTTTGTGGAAAGAAATTATGTGATTTGTCCTATAAATTTATCCACTTTCTACATCTGGCTAGTTGCTTCCTTGAGGTATTTTGGTGCAAGGGATTCTTTGTTTCCCACAAACCTTGGGAATGAAGTTTGATGAGGTTCTGTTTTATGGGAAGACTACTATACTTGATACTTCCTGTTGAATCACATAAGCAGGCACATAGTGTGTTCTGTTTTCTACGATCTTAAGACTTTGGTGAATTTAGATGTGGTCAGCTTGATCCTGCTATTATAAAGTTCCCTGGATATAATTTGTGATCATAAAATGTGAATAAATTAAACCTGGCCTTTACTTCACAGAGATCTTTTGTGAATAAAATGGTATCACAGATTTGAAAGGACTTTGTTCTAAGGAATCTATGATCATAGAAAAATCCTGACTTTGCACTATAAGTCAGATCTGAATAGCTATCCTTTCTCCTAAAGTCTAGTCTTCTTTCTGTTTCTCATTTTTCAATCTAACCATCGTGTCTTTGGGAGTTTGGCTTTTAGCTGCACTGTTGTGGTGTAAATAGCACAAAAGACTGGACCAGTGGCCAACCAGCATCTTGCCCCTCAGAACAAGGAGTTAAGGTAATTGTTTGCAAAGTTATTGATATTCATTTCTTTATTTAAACTTTTAATTACCTTGGAGACTGCAGTCATAAAGTTCCTAGACCTCCTATATAAACTTAGGAAACTTTCAATGAGAGAGGAGGGCATCAACTCCAGGTAACTAGAAGAAAATTTAGGAAAAAGCTTATTTAGGTAGAAATACTCCGAATCTTGATACAGGAAACTATTGTAATAAACAGGTACAGTTTGTGAAAAGGGGACAGAGATTGTGTCTAGTTATTTCTTGAAAAAGAAATAGTTCTTCTCATGGCTCAAAGTAAAATATATAGGGTTGAGTTAGGAAATTTTGTTCTGCTATTTATTTCTCTACTCCTTCTTTGGAGATGGCAAGTCCAAAGCCCTTAGTGATTAAGACCCTTAGCGAAATGAAGCATAAGTGGAGTGAGGGGTTGGGAGATAGTCATTTGAACTGCTGAAAAAACCTGCCCATCTCCAGCCAAAAAAGTCATCTTCCAATCAGACCAAATCTCTAAGATCTTATCCTCACCATGTGTTCCTCACTCCTGAGGTGATCTGGGCATCTCCAGAATTTTTTTGGTCTGTGGAGGAAAATGGGCACACACCAACCAACAGTGTCTCTGGCAGTTAGTAGGGTTAATAGACTTACTGGTTACTGACATGCAAATTAATCCTAGGATTGCATAGCCTATATTATGTTTTTAAATATAAGATGAGCATTGATGTTCAAAGAACACAACAACATCTATTGTTGACCTACCACTTGGGAGCTAGTTTAACTCGAGTAAAGATCTAGAACTTCTGCATTAAGTGCCATTGTACTGGCAATACCACCAGAAATTTCTTCCATTTAATATTCTCTATTTTATGCTTGTTTCTTTATCTATCCAAAGAAAATAAAAATATAATACATGACTTAAATTTCTTTGTATTATATAAGACAAAATACAAATTACCTTCTCAAATAATTCTCCTCATAGAGTTGAATTATAGAGTAGTATCATTTGTACCTCTAATTTTTCCTAGGGTTGCTATACCCAAACACAAGAGTGGTTTCAGTCCAATTTCCTGTATATTGGAATCATTACCATCTGTATATGTGTGATCGAGGTAAGAGCTTAACCCTAGGACTACAGTGAAAATGAAATGAGTTAAGTCATGTAAAGTTTTAGAACAGTACCAGGAACATAATATGTGTATAATAAATATTATCTGTTTATCAGTATATAAATTCTTCAGTCAAGTAGCAAATAGTGTTATTACCAATGTGACTTAAGGTATACAGAAAATAAATTATAAGAACATCCATTTAGCCAACTTCACCCTCAGAGGAGATAAGAGTGATTCACAGTCAAAGGCTACCCAGGCAAAACCCCACTTTGATCCTTTACTCAGCTTATCTGGAAAAGAATGTGACTGATGAAACAATACACATGAAAATTTTGACCTTGTATTCTAAGAAAGAATTGATTATGGAAGCTGTAGTCATTTCTTTGTTTTAGTGCTGAGTTTGATAAATGAAGGGTGAATTGAGAGTAGTTTGTGTTCTTTTTTGTTGTTGTGTGATATTTCTAATATTTTTCCACCCAAGTATTGGGTATATCACAGATTATCTAAGGCTTAATCAAGAAGTTGAGAGAAAAATGATGTTTTTCTGCTTGGAAACCAAGGAGGCTAGGGCATGAGAGAAACTCACTGCACAGTGTTCAGGAAGCAAAAGTTGCCTCTATCACCAACAGGGCTTCTGTGACTTTTTAAGAAAAAAAGTTGTCCCAACATTTTATACTTCATTATGTTGCCATCATCTTTCCCACATCATTACGCACTGCTATCCTTTAGCTGAAAGACAGAGCTGAAAGTGATGGTAAGAAGGATTATCCCCATATGTTAGATGCTTTCTTTTTTTATGAAGTAAATTCTTAGAGTTGTGGGAGAAATGGGTTATTTTATGAAAGCCTCACACTTTCTCTTCTTTGTTTTAGGTCCTTGGGATGTCCTTTGCATTGACCCTGAACTGCCAGATTGATAAAACCAGCCAGGCCATAGGGCTGTGACCTGTAATCGCTCTGTGTTGGAGAGACTTGTTTCTTCTCTGGAAATCTAGAACCACTCATAGCATGAAGCCCCAAATGATCTCCTGCTGGACTGACATCTTTTGTCCTCATCTCTTCCCTGTTTGGGTCCCTGTCTTATACTGCCAGACAAGAGGGTGTTGGCCAGGCACTTCCTTTCTCAGACAGTGAGACCATCATTTACCTAGTGATGGCAGCAGCCATGTCCCTTAAAGTAGTGAAACATACCTGAGTTATTTTTAGATACAAGAGGCCAAGAAAACCTGTGGCACTAGTGGCTGAAGGTCAAGGAGTGGGTATTTGAATGTTTGAATATTCCTGTTGTTAAATCAGTCTCCAGCCTCTAACTCATGCTCAGCCTACTCTACAATGTCATTCAAGAGATATGCTGAATGTAGTACGAGAGCCAGACTCACTGGATCTTGGTCACAATCCTCTCCTTTGACTAGGAGCCTTATGGGCAAGGTTTCCTTTCAAAGTGCTTTACAGATTTATTTTAAGTCTTTCTAAAAAAAAAACTATCCAGTGATTTATATCTTGACTTTAAGAGATAGGCAGTCTCTTAGCCTTTGAGTTACACAGACACTGAAGAACTGCACAGCACCTGTAATCTCTGGTGGGTTGGCTGATAGTCACATTCAGAAGGGTTCTGGTGTTATTTCTCTATCATATAAAGTTTTGTTAATGTATTATTTTAACTCTTCAAGAAATAAAATAGCTTATGATGTCAATTGCAACTTTCTCATTCTGACACTTCAAACACTCCTTGCATGACTCAACCTGATTACCCAGGCAACAAGCCAAGTGGAGTAGTAACAAATTAGTGTATTAATAACAAATTAATCCAAAATTTAGTGGCTAGGAACAACAAAACTTATCTCACAGTTTGAGAGGGTCAGGAATCTGGGGACAGCTTAGCTGGATGATTCTGGTTTGTGGTATCTTATATAACTGCAATTGAGTGGTCAGTCATGGCTGTAGTCATCTCAATTCTCAGCTGGAAGGTTATACACTATCAAGATCTCACATGGTTGTTGGCTGGTTTAAATCTTTGCCACACATGTATTTCCAGAGGGCTGTCTTATGACATAACGTGACATTCTTCGTGTTGCTCCATAGTGAGACCTCCAAGAGAGAGAAATCAGACATGGCACCCAACACAGAAAACACAGTCCTTTTTATAACCTAACTTGGGAGTGTCATCATATTAGTTCTGCTGTACCAAATTCCTTGAAGTGAGTCAAAAAGTTCAGTACATACTCAAGGGTGTGAATGCCATGGGGTGGAAATTATTGGTGTTAATCTAAAATGTTGAGAACTATGCTATGTTTGTTGGATCAAGAAAAGAAGTTAAAAGAATTGTCTGTAGATGACTATATTTGTAAAGCAAAATTAGAACATATCTAATACACAGGCCAAAGCAGAGAACTTAGAAAAAGGAACAGAGAAGAATTGATGTCTGTTCTTGAAGTTTTGTTTATGATCCCTTATTTCCATTTAGGGAAAACTGGTCATTTCAATAGTAGCTTATAGGGAATCCAACATCTTCCACATTTTCCTAGGCACAAAAGATATAAAGGAGACATTTTCTTGAGTTTTACAAGTATTAAACTTATCTCATACATACAAAATGAAACTTAGCATTGTGTCTTCCAAACATGCTCTCCATATCAGTGAATGATAAAAGCCACTCACTTAGTTTTCTTAACCATAACCTGAGCTGTGTTCTTAAATCTTGTCTGTCCTTCACTCCCAACAACTAGTCAGGCATGAGGTTCTATCACCTACCAAATATTATCAAAATCATCCATTCTCTTCTTATTATTTCTTACTCATATCCCTTTAATAGTCCACGACTGTCAATCTGTTTTCTGAGTATTTACCATTGACCCCATCTATGCTGCTCTCCATATAGCCAAAAACATATTTGTAAAATTTAAATATAATTACATTTTTATACTTGGTACCCTTTAATGACTATCCTTAGGATAAAGTTCACATTCTTTATCTGCCCAGCCTTACATGATAAGTCCCATTCTTAGCTCACCAGCCTCACCTCTCTATTCTTACTCTTGCATTCTATGCCTTTGCTTTGTTAATTTTTATTTAGTTGTAGTAGGCTTTATTTATATTGATCAACTTTTCCCATTTGCTACTCTCATTGTCTGGACAATCTTCACCTTTCCATAAGAAAGATTTCTCTAATCTCATAAAGTTTGATATTGATTGAGGCACTGTATTTTATTTATACATTAATGTATCATCTAATATTTACGAGACATCATACTAAGAGATTTACAAACATTTTCCCATTTAAATTTTAACAAAATCTCTCTTGTATGTACCTATGTAATAGTCATAGAAAGTTCACTGCTCTTTTCACACTTATAAATATTCTCTTAAAAATCTTATCATATTTTAGCTGCTCCATTTACTTGTCTTTAGCAACTATCAGCCTGATCAATTTATAAAGAGAGAGTAAAGCTACACATTAAGTATAAATAAAAACTGAGCCAGATTAAAACAGTAGTAAGAGTTGTCAAGACAGAAAGGAGTGTTTTCAAAGTGGGAAAAGGGAGTTTGTTGCTTCATTAAGAGTAAGAGTGAGAGAAAGCAGAAGAAAAAGAAAAAGAGAAGTTTGATTCTTGGGATTATGCCTTTCCAAAAAATAATTATAATAATCATCAAATTGATTAGAAAAGGGAAGTGTTTTTTTAAATCTTTATTCCAAGTGATTTCAAGGGGTTAGCAGAAAGGAAAGATGAGGAAATTTTAATCAAAGTGCATGGTTTTATTTTATTTGTTTTTTTCAAAGTGCACGGTTTTAATGTTGCAGAATAAATAAGTCCTGGAGATCTATTGTACAGAATAGTGACTATAACTAATAGTACTGCATTATATTACTTTAAAATTTGCTAACATGGTAGATCTGTTAGGTGTCCTTATCACTAATAAGTGGACTAATAAATAAGCCATGGGAGAAAGTTTGGAAACAATGGATTTTTTTATGGTATATATATTGTAGTGATGGTTTCATATGTATATAGGTACCACCAAACTTATTCGGTTGCATACATTAAATATGTACAACTTTTCCCATGTACATCATACCTCAATGATAAATAGCTTAAGAAAACAAAATCTCCCAAAGTATTATGAAACAAAAGTAACAACAAACAATATAAATAGACCCAGAAAACTTCAGATATTAAGCATACTTGACCCAAAATACAAAATAGCCATATTTTTCTAAAATTAAATTAAAAACTGCTTTAAAACATGCAGACAAAAATACTGAGCATTTTTAAAACAAAAAATAAAATAATTGAAATCTTAAAAACTCATGTGAACATATTCAACAGCAAATATGAAGCAACTAAAAGAGATTAATAAGCAGGAAAATTTACATAAGGAAATGAATCAGACTTTAGTTGCAGCAGGTTGAATTGTGCCTCCCAAAAGATATGTACAGATCTAAACCTGGTAACTGTACTCATGAATGACTTCATTTGGAAATAGGTTCTTTATGGATATTACTAAGTTCAGGATCTTGAGTGAGATCATCCGACATTAAGGTTGAGTCCTAAATCAACTGTCTGGTGTCCTTATAAGAGAAAGGGGAGAGAAATTTTAAAAACAGATACAGAAGAGAAGACTCAAGGGGAAAGGAGACTGGAGTGATATGACTACCTGCCAAAGAATACCAAGGATGCCTTACAACAACCAGAAACCAGGAGAATGGCACGGAATGGATTCTACCTCAGAGAATTCAGAAGGAACCAACCTTGAAGATACCTTGATTTTGGTCTTGTGGCCTCCAGAACTTATAAATAATTGATTTATGTTGTTTGAAGCCACAAATTTACTGGTAATTTGTTCCAGTCTCTTTAGAAAGCCAATATAAATAGAAACAGTTGAGAAGATGAAGGTAAGGTGAAGAAATGATGATAAGAGTTAGTAAGCCTACCACAAGTATAACTGCACATCCAAAGAGAGGAGTTACAAAACATAGTAGATAAAATTCTTGAAGCCATAATAGCTGAGAATACTCTAGAATGATAAAATATACAGTCCATGAACAGTGAATTACCTTTATGGTGGAAAAGACAATCACACTTAGACACAACCTGGGAACCCAGATAAATTTTTTTTAATATTTAAAAGCACTCATAGCCACATGACAGAAAGCACTAGCAACAGCATAGTATGTTCCATGCCCTGGCTGTGAATACAGTACCTAACAACTCCTCTTAATTTTGGCCAGCTTTTAATTTTGTTTCCCCTCAACACAGAGCTGCAGAGGAGCCTACCAACTGACTGACCTAATTGTGGATGAGGCCAATGTCCTTGAAGAGAAGTGAAAAATCTGAAGCCTTCCACTTTTCATTTTAGAAAGTTGCAAAAATAAGAGATCTACGCAGGAGAAGCAGCACCCTTCCCCCACACAAGCAAGTCCCCACTCATTGCCCAGGAACTCCTGACATAAGGGTAGGGCCCTTATGTCACCAACTCCAAGCCAGCCCTAATTTTGCTCCCCATGGCACAGGGAGCAGAGGTGAGAAATAACGAACTGATCTAACCCTGGAGGAGGACAATGCCAAGGAGAGAAAAGAGCAACCAGATCCTTCGACTGTGGACATTAAGTCCAACAACTTACATGACCTGTCACCCACATCCAGCAGAGACCAGAGGAGTGATTGCATTCCCCATCTATGAACAAGAGCAAAAATATGCCTTGGCTTAGATGCTAACAACATTCTGGGGGGAATGGACAAAGGGCCTCTGGTACAGGGAAAGCACCTCAAAAACAAGAATCAAGATACATCAGGGAAAGATACATATTCCCTATGATGAATGTGACCATTATGAAAATCTAAATTGTACCAATAAAATTTAAAAAGATATTTAAAAAGTTACAAAAAATAGACCCTAAAACTAGGAATAGAAAATTGTGACTGGCTGGATCCCAAGACTGCAGATCTTGGAAAGAAACCACTCATTCCATAACACAAGAATTTTGTTTTGATCCAATCTTTTTAAAATTTTTCTGTTTTGTATTACTTTTGTCTTTGCTTCATTGGGTTTGGGGGGGATTTGAGGTTTTTTTCTCATTTTCCTCTTTCTTTTAGTTTCATCTCCTTTTTCCCTTTTAACTGATTTTTCTCTTACTTTTATTTGGTGTTTTTTTTGTTCTGCATTTATCTTTTTTCTTCTTTTTTGGCTCATTCTTCATGAGACTGTTCTCTATCACTTTTAATTTCTTTTTACTCCTCAATACAGGCCTCATATCACTTCTCTCTCTTCCTTCTTATATTGTATTGACTCATTTTAAAAATTTTGTCTTTACATTCACCATATCCTCATTCACTCTACTTTTACTAGTATAATTATAGATCTCTTTTCTATGATTAAGGCTGATACTTAGTTGGACCTTAGGGGTTGTTAATTCATTTATATTTGATGCTTAATCAATGCTGATTTTATAACTATAGCTAAGCTGATATACCTTGTTATTGATTAGCTTTGTTGGCATACTACATGCCAGAATTATTCAAAATGATAGAGAGAAGACAACAAAACAGATCACTAAGGTATTTGGCAAGCTCACAGAAGATATTGGGTGAAATAAAAAGACTGGTGACTCAATAAGATTTTGGGTGAAATAAAGATTGGTGACTCTGTAGGAGACATTAATAAAAAGATAGAAGACCTAAACAAAACAATGCAAAAC